GGTTGCTTTGAGCAAACATCCTATGAGCTTCTGGCCCTACAGCAGAAGCATCTACTTAGGCTTTATCAAAAGTCCCTCAATAGATTCTTACTGACCCGACTTGGGCCACATGCCATCCACAAGCAAGGCAGTGCTCCTAGAGCAAATGTGCTTTGAATTGGCCCTACCTGGGTCTTGTTTCTGTCCGTTCAGCTTAGTATGTACAGCTCACCCTGCATAGCCAGACATACCGGTTTGATAATGGTGCACTTGGCCCAATCTACTGCCTTCCCCGACTGCCTTTCTCACAGTGACTTCTCATCTCAGAGTAAAAGCCAAAAGGCCACATCTCATGTCAATCCATGCTCCGTCTCACTCCCTGTGTCCCTGCCATCCTGACTGTTTTAACATTATTTCCTTACTCTAGGCAGCTTCCACTTGAAGGCTTTCATTCATTTTTTTTAACATTTTTTATTGATTTATAATCATTTTTCAGTGTTGTGTCAAATTCCAGTGTTCAGCACAATTTTTCAGTCATTCATGGACATATACACATTGTCACATTTTTTTCTCTGTGATTTATCATAACATTTTGTGTAATTCATTTTTGTTTCTTTACTTTCTGAATGATCCTCCCCACATAGGGACATGGCTCTTTCTCTCACATCCTAAGAGTCATCGCCAGGCTTCCTCTCATCCACTTACTTGAAATTCAAGATCTCTCTGGGCACATCTTAGCTTCCTTCTTGGCTTTATTTTCCCCAGAGCACTTTTCACAATCTAAGAAATTGTATGTTTTATTTATTTATTTGATTCACTCTCTGTGCCATATCACCCCTACTAAAATGTGAGATTTTTGCAGGCAAGCAATCACTAGGTCAGTAGTATATTCACAGTAGAGTTTTAGTGAACTATTTATTGAATAAATCAATAAATCTTCATGTGAATTAATATAAAACTTTGAAGAACTTTGGGTAAGGTTTAGCTAAAGGGGAAATTGAGTGGGTCAAATTCCATGAATAATACGCCCTCTATTACATAACTTTCCTCTTTATATTAGGAACCCTTTATAAACTCTATTCTCATTATGCTAATTTGAACCTCTCCTTATTCATAACCAAGAAAACCACATGTAAGCTGTTTATCATTTCACTCATCATATAGTATGATTTCTAACTTCTCAGGCTTAAAACATGGGAAAAATGATAATACTTTTCTTAAAAAGTGTTACTGACATGATTACGTGAACTGATGCACGTGAAGCTGATTAACACAGCAAAAGCATACCAGAAACGCTTATGGTGATAGATATTTATAACCACTGTTTATATTTGCATTTTAAAAAGCATTTGTTATAAGTAGGCTGTGTAAAGATACCTACGTACAAACGTAATAAATTTGTTTTACTTCCCTTGCCTTAGGGAATCATGGACATCGAAGCGTATTTTGAAAGAATTGGTTACAAGAACCCTAGGAACAAGTTGGACTTGGAAACATTAACTGACATTCTTCAGCACCAGCTTCAAGCCGTTCCCTTTGAGAACCTTAACATCCATTGTGGGGAAGTCATGGAATTGGATTTGGAGGCCATTTTTGATCAAATTGTGAGGAGGAAAAGGGGTGGCTGGTGCCTCCAGCTCAATCAACTTCTGTACTGGGCTCTCACCACAGTTGGCTTTGAGACCACAATGTTAGGAGGGTATGTTTACAACAGTATAGCCAACAAATACAGCAAGGCCATGATTCATCTCCTGCTGAAGGTGACCATCGACGGCAGGAACTATATAGCTGATGCTGGGTTTGGATGCTCTTACCAGATGTGGCAGCCTCTAGAGTTAATTTCTGGAAAGGATCAGCCTCAGGTGCCTTCTATCTTCCGCTTGACAGAAGAAGGAGGAATCTGGTACCTGGACCAAATCAGAAGACAGCAGTACATCCCAAATCAAGAATTTCTGAATTCTGATCTTCTGGAAAAGAATGCATATCGGAAAATCTACTCCTTCACTCTTGAACCTCGAACAATTGGAGATTTTGAATCTGTGAATATTTCCCTTCAGGAATCTCCAGCATCTGTGTTTACAAGCAAGTCATTTTGTTCCTTGCAGACCCCAGAAGGGGTTCGCTGTTTAGTTGGCTTCACCCTCACCTACAGGATATTCAAGTATAAGGACAACATGGATTTGGTGGAGTTTAAGACACTGAATGAGGAAGAAATGGAAAAAGAGCTAGAAAGTTTGTTTAATATTTTCTTAGAGAAAAAGCTGGTGCCCAAACATGGTGATATATTTTTTACCATTTAGGTAGGCAGAAAAATGGTCTCAATATTACTTCCAGTGCTGTAACTTTGTATTACACAAAAAAATCTAATGCACATAAAAGTAGAAAGAATGAAATGATAAATGTCTGTTTATAACTTAGTTTATCAACTATCAAGCAGCAACCTATGTGTCATACTTTCTCAATGCTCTGTCATTATATTGAAGACAATACTAGACATTAAATCATTTTACCCATAAAAGTCAGCATATATAATAGTATAACATTTTAAAACACATAATCATGTACCTTTTCAAAATTAATAATAGTAAAGATGTTTTAATGATGGTCTATTGTTTCCAGAGGAGAAATAGTGATTTATGCTAGAAAAGCTTTACACTGTATAGCACAGGCATATATATATATGACAATAATGTGACAATAATATATATATGCCTGTGCTATAGAAAAAGAATGTAGCAAAGATCCACACAGAAACTACTAGAAATATCAGAAGAATTCAGCAAGGTAGCAGGTTACAAAATTAACGTACAAAAATCAGTTGCATTTATTTACACGTACAATGAATCAACAGGAAAAGAAAGTAAAGAAACAATCCCCTTCAAAACAGCAAATGGTGTTGGGAAAACTGGACAGCAGCATGTAAATCAATGAAGTTAGAACACTCCCTTACACCATACACAAAAATAAACTCAAAATGGGTCAAAGACTTAAACATAAGACAAGATACAATAAACCTCCTAGAAGAAAAGATAGGCAAAACATTATCTCACATACATCTCAAAAATGTTCTCCTAGGACAGTCAACCCAAGCAATAGATATAAAAGCAAGAATAAACAAATGGGACCTAATGGAACTTACAAGCTTCTGCACAGCAAAGGAAACCATAAATAAAGTAAAAAGACAACCTACGGAATGGGAGAAAAGGCTTGCCAATGAAACCGACAAAGGCTTGATCTCCAGAATATATAAGCAGCTCATATGACTTAATAAGAAAAAAAACAACCTAATCCAAAAATGGGCAAAAGATCTAAACAAGCAATTCTACAAGGAAGAAATACAAATGATCAATAGCACATGAGAAAGTGCTCAATATCACTAAATATCAGAGAAATGCAAATCAAAACTACAATGAGGTATCATCTCACACCAGTCAGAATGACCATCATACAAAAGTCCACAAATGACAAATGCTGGAGAGGCTGTGGAGAAAGGGGAACCCTCTACACTGCTGGTGGGAATGCAGTTTGGTGCAGCCACTATGGAAAACAGT